AATGTGGATTTTCTCAGCCTGGTTTTCGTTTCATCCTTCATGATAGGCCGTGCCATTATCAAGGACATATCAAGACCTTTCGCCGACCTTTCGCCGCGCTTCCGCGCGTCTTTCGCGCGCCAAGAAATTGATCCCGGAACCCTGTGCTGCGAACTCGGCTTATAAAAACAAAACAAGGGTTTTAGAACAACCCCCATATAAAAACCCATCGACCTTTTACTCATCCCCAAATGGTGTCAGCGTTTGTCTTCTTATCGTTCTAGGGGGGTTCTGGTCACATGCACGTAACATGGTGTTTTCTTTTACAGTACAAGGAAGTTAGTACAACTATAACCTAACATAACCTACTATAATCTACACTGATCTACGATGATCTACTATAGCCTGTTATGATTGGTTATCATCTGATATAGCTCATTAGAACCGATTATAGTGTAGCATGATCTTTTTATGTACTTATATAGTTCTGATATACCCCTATATATCTAACGCTATATCCCCTTTAAAGGATATAACCCTTGATCCCCTTTAGAGCTTATATACCCATAGAAATAACCATATATCCCTTTCCCTATGAGGCTCAAAGTACCTAATAATCATATACTTACCCAAAACCTATACTATAATTACTATTACCCTAAGCCCTAGTACCTAGTTATTGGGTACTTGGACCCTCTGGGCGTTGAAGGGGCTGTAGATCCACCAAGCATCTGCTCCGCTGCAGATCTGCGAAGCTCTGAAGCACCTTGCTGCCGAGCTGTTGGCGACCACTGGTGCCCCTGGGTTTAGGGTTTAGGGGTTTGTTGGCTTCAGGGTGCAGGCCTACAGGAATTGCATGGAATTCGTTCGGGATGTTTCCACGCTTAGGGTTTAGAAGCGTGAAGGGCTGAGAACAGGTTTTGGGTTCAGGGTTTGGTGAGGTTCAGTACCAGCATTCAAGTTTCTCAGTGCAGGGTTTCTTTGACATATTCGGCTGGGCCCTTTCTTCGTCGATCCTGGCGTACCGAAAGTGTCCGGGCACTTAGTAAATGGGCCATAAATGTCGTGGTAAGTACCCTACTTGGTGCTAATCTGCCCATGTATGGTACTAGGTCCCTGAGCCTGTAAGTACCGTATCGCCCTTTCGACTTAGTCGGCCAGACAAATCCTACAAAGGCTAAGCCCCAACACCAACTGCCACCAAGACAGTACCGTGATATTACGGTTGATGTTCATTGTTAGGGGGCGTGAGCCTGGGTGATTCTTGGAGGGAGGGGATCCTACAAAAGTGCAAGCAGGCTGCGCCCCAGAGGCATCAAGAAAGAGCTGCCGCCGGTATGCTGAGATCAGCGTCTTGAAGTTGAGATTCGCATTTCCCAGCTTACCACAGGCCTTTGGGGCAGATCTCTCAGGAAGGACTCACTAACGGCTAACCGGGTAATTATGAGGCAGCAGTGAGATTTGTAGTTTGCGCCCCTACGCGTTCAGGGCTCAAAGAACGTGTGTAATTGGGATCCACCTCTCCTACCGTAAGCTCGTCCTTCTTTATGTGCTTTCGGGTTTCCCATTTCAGAACCAGGTGGCCATCTGCATAAATACGGTCACGAGGTTTGAGTTCGTTTTTCCAAGGACCAGCTCCAGGTACTGCTCGAAATCCAATTCTCCAACATTCAGATCGTCGACTTGATCTGCCAAAAACCTGTCCGGCCAAGTTTATGGGGTTTGGAGGTTGGGGTTGCATGTAGGGTAAAGTTTCATTGCTCTTGGGTTGCAGGCTTACTTTGGTTCGCTTGGAGATTCATGGGAATTCTTAATATGTTTGGGATGCAATTCGGCCAGCCCTAGACGTAATTAGCTGCAAGTTTATACGGAGAGCTTATAGCTTTACTTGTAACGCAACAAGACCCAAGTGCGCCGTAAACCCCAAACCCCAAACCCTAAGGCCTAAACCCTTAACCTTTAGACCTGGGTTTAGGATTCAGAGTATTTCATGGCCCACTTGAATTTGCCAGCGTAAGTCTGCATGCAAGAAAGCTTTATGTTTGTAGCTTGGAGCTTAGGGCCCTATCGGTGCTATCGTCTCATGCTGCTTGTTTAAGTCTTATTGAAACTCCTCCTGTAAAGGTGCAAGCACAAAAGTCTTAGGCCTCCAAGGGTCCCGATGTTAGGGTTTCTTAAACAGAAGACTTCAAGTTTGTACCCTTAGAGTTTGTAGCCTTGGGCTTTGGGGCCCAAAGATCCTAATCAAGGACTATATATATGTATATATATATATATTCCATCGATAGAGACCCAAGGGTGAAACTCTAACGGCACTGAACCCTTAACCGAGAGTTGAACACAACATCTTGAAGCCTGACACCCAATCACCCCAATCCCTAAATCCTAAACCCGAATCCCCAAACCCTAAACCCAAAGCAATCCCCAAACCCCAAACCCTAAACCCTAATCCCCAAACCCTAAATCCCCTGGACTCTAGCCTCAGACCTGGGCCTGGAACTGCAGATCCTAGCATCACGCGGCCCTCACTAAACCCTAGCTAGACACTTAGGGTTTTAGGATTTGGGGGTTTAGGGTTTAGGGGAATCGTTACCTACCCTAGAAAAGGTAGAGCTATGACCCCCCAAGCCTGCAAACCCTAATTTTGAATCCCTATGCCCTGAAGCCTGCACCCTCCTAAACCCTAACCTCAATGTTTCAGCGTGACGGGACCTCACTTCCCTGGGGTTCTCCGCAAGCCCGAGCGAGATCAACATCGTCTCCAGCTGCTCAAGGGTGATCCTAAACTGTTTAGGGTTTATAGTTCCCCTTAAGTAGATAGAATTTGGGATATATGGGGATCTTATTATAGCATACCCAAGGCCATATGCTATCTACTTAAGGGAAACTATAGGGTTTAGCGGTCTAGGGCCGAGGGCTTAGGAATTAGGACTCGGAGATTGGGATGTCCTGATTTTCTAACCGAGGTGCAATTCTTTCTCCCTGCGCAAAGTCAAAAGAGATAAAGAACAAATCAACCCTGGACCAGTGGCAACAAACAAAATGAGAAATACGGACATTCCTGAAGCCTTGGATCACTTCATAGACTCACCAAAACCGGTGTATGGTCCCCCTCGAGTAGGTCAAATATGGCAAAGATCCCCATACACACCATCTTCTATCTACTCAGGGGGGACTCTAATCCTTGGTCGGCTACTACAGGGACACCCCAAAACTTGTGACTAGCGTTTTTTTGGTGGTTAAACCCAGTAAGATTCTATTCCTTATAACTATACCCCAAAGGGAGGATAGAATCTTACTCTGTATTGGGTACCATAATATCCCAAAATGAAATACTACTCTGGTGAAGCTAAGGATCCTTCCGTTTGGGCCTGCCAGCTCGTCGAAATAGCGTCGGAGTTCGACCCTCTCCTGGCTGCTGACTCGGAGGGAATCCCTAAAGGGTCCAAGCACCTAATACTCACATGCTTACCCCCAACCTGTACTATAAATACTATTACCCCCAAACCCAAGGACCTAATTCTTGGGCACTTGGAGCCTGAGCCCTCAACCCTATATAAGGTTTATAAGGGTTTAAGGTTTTATACCCCTATATACCCGTATATATCCCGTTTAAAGGTGACCTAATTATTGGGTACTTGGACCCTCTGGGAGTTGATTTCGGTGCCAGGAACCGGCTCAAGGTTGGGCCGTTGGGTTTAGGTAAGGCTTTAGGGTTTAGGACTTAAGGTTTAGGTTTAGGGTTCAGGGTTTAGGGTTCAGGATTTGAGGAAATGCTACAGAGGTGCCCATTGGGGCAACAATAGTTAGGGGGAAATTCTGGGGCTATATTGGGATAATGGAAACATGGAAACGCAGTTTCAAGTAGCAACACTGAGCCCCAAAACACATCGCAAGGGAAACCCTGGGTATGTGGGGCGTATGGTTTGGTGGGGCGGTAAACTGCCAAAGTCCGAATCCTGAAGCCTGACCGCCAAGTCTCTTGCGGAGAGAAGTCCAAGAACTGGTGCTTGTGTTTCAAGGCCAGCCACCGGCGCTCGTTGCGGACATGCAGATATCGCTTGGTTTCCTGTGCTCACCCAGGTCCAGAGGTACTCAGATATTCCCCGCCCCTATAGCAACCGCCCGCATGAGAAATATTCCTGTAAGATGTAATGGTACGCATATGTACTAATATATTGACGGTATGTATAGTTGATGGTTTGCTAGGGCGGGTGGGTGGAATATCAGGTGCTCTGGCTGCAATGTAGGAACCGCTTTCCAAGGACCTTACTCGTTTTTAAATGTACTTGGACTCCTGAGGTGTTGCTTCTTACCTTGACACCGTGCAGAACGGCTGGCTTAGGGTCACTGGCAGGTGCCACTTATCCAGTTTTTTGCAACACCCGGGACTGCTTCCGCAATCCTAGTTAGTCACTACGGACCCATATGGAAAACTAGGTTCCCCAGTAATTAGCTCCTTCATTACAAGGGCACCCTTTTCCTAATGTTCAGCTTTTAAAGGGAAAAAGGGTACTACTGGGGTACCTAGAAAAGAGTCCATCTCCAAACCCTGAACGTCTTCTGAAACCCTCAGCCCTAAATTCGAAACCTTTCGGCCTCAAAGAACAGTGCGTAGTTTCAGCTCTTAAGCTTCAATGCGCAGGGTTGTAGGGCTTAGGGGCTCAAGGCTGGCCAGCTCAAGGACTACATCATTTTTTGCGTCACGCACGACCAAGTTAGACACCATACGGAGAGTCCTTCTCACATCGCGCCAGGCAAGCTGCACATTTCACCATAAGACCCTGGCCTTCAAATCCCAACACCCATGCGGCTTACGTTTTAGGGCTTAGGGAACTCGAAAAGGGCTTCCTTCTACGGCTTCGCGGCACCAATAACTGGCCACCTGTTCATCGGAAACGGCAAGCCCCAAATTCCAAAGCTTCTGAGGCTATAGTACAGTCCTACACTCTAAATCTTAAGCTCCAATCCTGAACAAAAGCATAACCCCAAGGGTCCAAGTACCTAAAAATCATGTGCTTACCGCAAACCGTACTATACTTACTACCACACAAATCCCTAGTACCTAATCATTTAATACTTGTACCCTCTGAATAATGCAACTGAGCCGCTGTTGTCCACCGGCGGCCGTAGATCTGATGTAGCGGCTTATCCAGCGGCGGCAAGCCAGGGGCAGGTCCCGCATCTTTCCTTGTCTAGCATCTGAAGGGCTAGGTAGGGGGAGGGCTTAGAGCTTCGGGTCTCCTGTTTTAGAACCTGTCCCGGGACCTCATAAAGTTTGATCTTAACTGCTTATCAGCAACAGTTCGTAGGATCTTGAGGGCGTAGGGAGTTTGGTTATGGGTTGCGAGTGATGTCCAGGCGCCTTTGTTGGTTTAGGATTTGGAGGCTTCCCAAAAGCATGGATACCTAGCTGGGGTCCACTTCTATGAGTATGCTGTTGCTTTTGAGCGACAATTTCTATATGTAATATTTAATATCGTAGTATCCCCGTTGATATCTCCTATAATAGTCTCCTGTAATCCCCTATATAACCTCCTTCGAGGAGTTTAGGCTATAGCTCACATGGTTCTGTTGTGGGTGGTTTGGGCTTCAAGGCTCCTTGAAGCAATTACAGTCGTCTGCAAGTAGACAGCAGCGCGGGATATGGCAGCTTTTAAGCTGTTGCGTTGATTGCGGTTTTGTGCAGGCTGAAGAATGACTGTAGCGATGATTTTGGGGTCCTGAGAGGGCCATACCCAGCAAGCTCTCTAGAGGAAGTTTCATCTAAACCCTGAAGCTTACCAGCCTAACCTGTCGAAATTGGGCTTCTTCCGCAAGGGCATGAATGGTCGCGCAGTATGGTCAAGTCTAGGAAGAGCTGCTATTGAGGCTTTAAGGGCTTCCCCACTCATTTTATGCATTGTAATATATCTTTTTGTGGGGATACCATTGCAGCTCATGACATCATAATCCTGATGCGTTTTCACATAAAAGCAATGCAGAACTCATTTCCACAATGGACAGTCAAGTCCAGGCTGCTTGAATGAGAAGTTGGGCAGGGTTGCTGAAGCCTTCATTGGCAGTGACCGGGTCTCTGACTCTCCTGCTGCTGTGGCATGTGCTCGTCACGGCGAGGCGTGCTTCCAGGGTCTATGGTGGGATGAAGGCCTTGGGTGACATGAAACAGTAGTAAGCAAGCATCACCTGGAGGATTTGAAGGGAACTTTTTTGTGCTTCCTTTGTGCACTTCTGAAGATGTACACTCTTTGCTGCGAGTGTGAAATCTGCGGGGCGCTCTACGCCCTTGCTCTGCGTGCACGCTGACGCTGTAGCCCTAAATCCCAGACCCTACAACTGTGAGCCGGCAATGGGGTTCAATTATAGGGATGTAGCGCTGCTGTGAATACACCTGCTCCTCGAGCCATGCCTTTCGATCTCTGTGAGTAAGAAACATGGTCCTAGCAAATCGGCACATCGGGCTGGGCATCTGAATACGTACACCTACATCTCAGCCATTGATGCCAACGAAGTCAGCAGCCTGACCTACCCAGATTTGAGCTTACTTCTTCACTGAATAATAATGGTCCGCAAGGCATTGAGAGGCATAGCATCGAAGTCGTTGAGACGCAGTGCCCTCTGAGTTGATGTATGTACAGAGCTTATAGCCACAAAGACCCAATGCACTCAGAGGCTCACATGTACTTTCAAGTAGGAAAACATTTTTGAAGCAAGGTGACTTTACCTTGCACCGCCCAATTTCAGTACTCAGTACTCATAATCCTGCTTGATAAAACCAGCCCTGAAACCCAGAACCAGTTCAACGGAACTTCCAACAAGTCCTGATGGCTACGCTAGTCTCTCCTTAATCGTCAGCCTGGCACCCAACACATGCTGGTACATTTTCCTTCAAGATGGCACCCTAAACCCTAAACCGTTTTCTTTCGTAGGGATCAAGCAACTACAAGGGGATTGCGCTAGCGTCTTCATTAACACAAACAAAGAGGAACTTGTTGAAGCTACCATGCCTCCTCACGCTCCTTCTGCACCCTCGCCTGCAAGCTGCGCGTTGTTTGCTAGGGAATGAACGCAAGGGTCCCTATATGATCCCTAGAATAGTCCCCTAAAGAGCCCTTCATGCGGGAAGCATGTTGGAGTAAGTCTGCCCCCACCCAACGCAGTCGCATTTACGACGTGCTATCAAGACCCCCGCAGAAAGAGATTCCAATTTGGAGACGTTCCTTTTGCAAAAAAAAGCTGGCTCGTCTGGGCAGCAAACGAGAGGTGTGAGGCGGCTTAAGGATTAGGTTTGAGGGCTTAAAGTCTAGGATCATCGGTGAGTACATTCATATTAAGTACAAAGATTGAGCTTCACGATGATTAGGCTGAACTGAATTCAGCTTTTGCCACAGTGATGCTTCGCCAGGAATGCCAGCATCTCAAACAGAAAGAATGGCCCACACGACGCGCTCTACCGTATGTAAGGCCTCCTTCTCCCAGTACTCTATTCAACAGCCTAAACCGTAAACCCTAAACCCTAGACCCTGAGCTAGCTGCTGAGCATATGTTCAGTGTCAATGGGAAGACAACGGTTGCCTAAATAAATGCGAAGCTCATGTTGAGGTCTTTGGTTTAGGTTTTAGGGTTTAGGGTTCAGGGTTTTAGGGTTTAGGGTACCCTGAACCAGGAATCCAGAACCTGAATAATCTTGGTAAATATTCCGCCATTTACGGTACGTGAAGATCACGCGCCCATTGACGCACGTCCCAACACGTGAGGAGCGAGGTCTTCTCATCGTCGCTGCTAATACTGTTACATGTCAACATGTTCTGGCTCAAATTCTGTAATCCCCTTAAAACAACAGGAACTGCATTTTGTTCATATAGTTCCTTGGGATTATACTACAATGCATTTTAAGATTGCCTAGGACCTAGTAATGCGGGATGTAAGCAAGAGGAACAAGCAGTTCACGTGAGCACCCTAAAGTGCGAACCGGGCCCTAGGCACTGCAATGACACCTACAGTAGATGGATGGAATCCTGCACCACTTACCCTAGGGGCCCATGTACTAAATAATTGGGTGCCTGGTATTTAGGTTGCAGTAATTCTTGTAGTACAGGTTGTGGGCAAGCATACGATTTTTAGGTACTTGGACCCTTATAGGATCCCCAAAATTATAGGCTTCAATAGGTGGTGCAAGCTTTCCTCCATAGACCCTAGCGTCGTACAAATTCTGGAGAGCTTACTGTGTTTCAGGAGTCAGGATTCAGGGGCAGCCAGAGAACTTGGCGGCAATGCTTGCTCCATTTTTCCCTCTCTTCTTGGGCGGCATCGCAGTGACGAGAATTCGCCCTTCCGATTCATCAACATGAGCCAGCCGCACGGAGACCTTTGAGTACCTTGCAGTTCGAGCTGTTTTTGTGTTACGAGCTTTGTGGTTAGCTGTTTAGGCGCATCAGATGGTTCCAGAATTCCGTACAGAAAAATGAGTTCGAGGTGCCTGTACCTCTGATACTTTCTGCTGCGTTTCTTTTTCCAAACAGCCACTACCGAGGAGAATTCTCCACCAAAACCATCATGAAAACAGGAAGAGCAAGTAACCCCAACTACCTACGACAATGTAGCGATTACCACCTCACAAATAGAACTGTAGGTAAGTGGGGTTACAGGTGAGTTTCAGCGACTGGGGATCCATCTAGAGCAGGCCCACGCGCCCCAAGGGAAGACCTTACACCTTGAGCCTTATAAGCCCTCAAAGGGAGCGCCCGCAGCAAGGCCCTGAACTGAAAACTACCTTTGAGCCCAGAACCCTGAATCTTGTACCCCTCAATTAGAAAAAAAAACAGTCGAACCCGGGGCCCTCGAACCCTAAAGCCCTAGCCCCACAGGGATAAAACACATAAGATGTACATCTCTTTATATGTACACATATGTATACACACACACACACACGATGAACGATACATGTACGATAATATGTTTACTATCTGCCTACACACAAAAATTCAATATAGAGGTGTGGGTTCCCCAAAAATGCTTTTGCGGCCTGAACGAACCGCTAAATTCAACAGCCCCTAGGCTTTACATCTCTATCACCTCTGACAATAGCAGATTCTGCACATATTCTCAAAAGTCTATTGCGGCACTAAATCCGGAAGTATGTGGCTTACGTCGGTGGACTAAATCCTGCAGACTTAGCTTGTCAAGGAGGGGATACTACAACAGGCTTTGGGCTTCATGAGGTCGAGCGGGATTGTTCTGCACGACCACAAACCCTAAGCCCTATTGTCGATGGAAGAAATCTTCCAGCACCTTATACACGCTATCCCTCGATAGTTACAGTAGTCTGGGGTCGTACATGGTACAAGGTTTCCTCCATCCACCATCTGAACTCAGAAGCCAACTGCCCTTTGGCTCGAAAATATGCAAGCCCACTATCCTTGACACACCTGACTTACAAAACCCCAGACTCCAAACCCCACAACTAGGAACCCCACAAACATGACTACGTATAACCCCTACATAACCCTATGAGCCCCTACATCATCCTATTTGATGCTGACATGGGGAGTTTTCACCCTAAACCCTAACCCCTAACTACATGCAGCCCAGGCACTGCTGTAGCTCCTCCTGCACCCAAGCTGTAGGAAGGAGAGCTGGAACGGCGTCCCTTCGGATTTGAAACGTGGGGACTAACCCTAAACCCTAAACCCTAACTCAGACCCCTTCCCAACAATAGGGATTATACAAGGGATCCTAATATTAAGGCCTTTAAAAGGAGAGGGTTAATTAATCAGGGGCCTACATTAGGGGGTTTCCCAAAGAGCTTCTCGGGCGGTACAGGATTATATAGGGTCTTTATGTTAAGCAGTCTGAAAAACAGGGCTCAAACCCCGGACCCTAAACCTTAAACGCCTAAACACGAAACACTAAACCTTGACACAAGGTCTTTATGAAGGGCGTCTCATTTAAGGAAGCCCTTGCGGATCTTTTTTTGCCCTCAGGGTCCAAGTACCACATGATTAGGTACTTGGGCTTTGGGAATAGTAACTGTAGTACAGGTTTTGGGTAAGTGTTTGATTATACCCTAAACCCTAAAATCCTACACCCATTAAGTACCTGGTTCCTTAGGGTTCGTGGCGTTGTCGTGAGTTGCGGCTTTAGAGCTTCAAGCTGTGAGGTAGAATTCCGCCCTAAACCCTGAAACCGTACGAGCTCGGAATGTCGAGAAAATCTGCAACAATCCTTTACGTAATTCCACATCCCTAGGGCCCCTATGGGCCCCCACATTTGACTACAGCTCCTGTCAGGTCCAAAAAGATCGGCCAAGACCAGAAACCCACCAGACGTTTCGACCTGCACTTCGCCTGTGAACCTTGGTTCAAGTTCAGGGTTTACCTGTAACCCCGATTTCCTACAGTTTTATGGGTTATACGTACTAATTAGGGGGTAATTACTACTAAGCTGTAGGTGATTGGAGTCACAGGTAGGGCTTAAGGCAAGGTTTTGGTTGGTGTTCAGCTTGATGACCGTTGGGCTGATTGCAGGTCTAGGCTTGAAGCTTTACGGTTGCAGTCCCTAACCCTAAGGGTCCAAGGACTCAAATAAAGGGGTTCTAGGGCCCACGTACTACAATCTGAATGGCATTTGGGACCTAAAGCCCTAATATTTGGGTCCTTGGACCCTTAAGGTAAGGTCTAGGTACATGATAGCGCATACTTCGCTTGAAGTGCTTTGGGGTTTAAGCGCCATGCATTCGTCTTTTTGCTGAAGAAAGAAAGTGCAGTGCAGCGTATCCTCAAGGACGACTTGCCGCGTTGTGCGTGGAGGCATGAATTACGTGTCAGAGGACTTTACGCATTTAAATCTTCTAGACGTCCGTGGTTGCCGGCTTTCTTTTTGGACCTAAAGTGTTATGAAGAAATGCATTTCTATCCCTTCCCAGAGACCACTTTTGCTGGGACAGCGCAGAAAGCTGGTGAGCTTTGTCAGCATCAACTTTCCTTAGCTGTTCTGGGCAAGTACTAAGAACACATGAACATCGCGCAAGCAGAAGGCATGAATCAAGAAAGCATGCCAA